AATTAATAGTTAACTTAAAATAGATAACAAAGCAAAATAGTGATCAAATTAAAAATTAGTAAAATCAGCAAGTATATTCAAAATAAATAAATATAAAAAGTGATCAGAGTGCAAAAGGGACTAAAAAACAGAGGACTTAAAGGTTATTTTTCCCTGATGGTGACCAAAACGTGAAACCCGCTGAAACTGGGAAGACTCGAGCGTAATTTGACTACAACAATGGTGACTAAAAGGTAAGAACAAGCTAAAGGTCTAGAGACTTTAGCGTAATTTACTCAAAAATGAAACTAGTTTTATTTCTGTCTCACGAACAAACCCTTTTCAGGGCTCTGAACCGAACGCCGACCACCGGGCCGGTAACCATCCTACTCTAACCAGCAACTCCGACCATGACCGAAGGAGGGCCGATCAAAGGAGTTAAACGACCGGACTCTCCCCCTTTTCTTACTCTCTCTACGTTCTTTCCTTTCTTTCTTCCACCCCCTTCCACGTTGCCGAGAGGCATAAAACCAACCCAACACCGGCGCCGGCCACAACACCCCGACCAACGACGATGCTCGACGCTGGCGATGGCCGACACTCTCCACTCCTCTTCCTCTCAAAAGAAAACCAAGCCCCTTTTTTCTTAAAAAAACAGCAAGGAAAACCAAGTAAAAAAAGGAGACTACCTCTGATTTCTTTCCAATATTTTTGGGGGGCCAAAATCCTCCCCGTTTTACAAGTCAAAGTTGGGTTTTATAACCCCAACTACTATAATATTATATCATTTTTTAATAATAAAATATAAAAATGGTGGTTACAAAATTTCTTTGATTCCTTTATGTGGAGAGCCTCGGTTAAAGGTGTGAAAATTACTAGTCCCAAAAGGAAATTAGGAGGCACTGTCCTACAGCCTGTAACAATGGTTGAACAAAAATTGGTCATGAGGTTTGTGACCAATTTCTTTCTGGAGTGTTGGTATCAATTGCGACACCTGCTTGGAGTGTGAACTTATATGCTCATATATATATATATATTGCATAACTCATTATTTTCCGAACTAGCATGTTATTATGGTAGAAGGAAAAGAAGAAGAGGATACATGCTATTTAAAAAAAAAAATTAGTTGTCACACAATACTTTCTTTAATGAATCAATGGATATTGACTGATTAACTTAAACCGAACAGATCGATAACGTAAAATATCAAGTGCACTTAATTAAAAAACGATGACCAAAATCAAATGAGATTATTGCCGAAGTTTATCCCCTATTAATTATTATACAAATCACTTTATTTTCTTAATTAACCTTGAAAATACTCTATTTCTCCGATTAATTTTCTCATCCTTTCCCCCTAATTTAGCCTTTCTTTGTGTTCATCGTTTTTCCACCAAACATTTTTCATTTTTTTTTCTCGAATTATCTTTCCCCCAATATTCCAAAACATGACTTCACAAAATTGCATTTGATTGCAACATTTATTATTTTTTTCATCATTTCTTTCAAATCTTCGTCATTTTTGATCAAATTTCTCTTTTTTTTAAAAAAAAATTAAATTTAATCTTACATAAAAAAAAAAAACAAATTTTAAGAGAATGAAAAGGAGTACTCTTAGCATACCTAAAATTCATAACCTAAAGAAATACCAAAAAACGAAAATGAAAAATTTAACCCACGAGCACTTGTCACGCCCCCAGAACTTCGACGCCTCACACCGTCGGAATATCATAGTCAAGGTCTGACGGGTCGTGCGGCCTTAGACGCTTTAGACGCTCCTCGGTCTTAATCGGCGACTAAGTAAGCCTTACCCAAGCTAAGTGAGTGTGCAAACTCACAAAGGTTGGAACCAAGCCCTCAAGGCTTCGGATTGCGGAAGCTTTAGAATGCCGACAAGGTCGGACTATCGTGTGGAAGTGCTAACACGAAGGTGGCTACTCTTGGCCACCGAGCTAGGCAACAAGAACAAAGAAACTAAGAACTCAGAAAGAATAGAGCAAATGCCTCAGAGCTTTATTACTCTCTCACAAAGAGAAGAATGGAATTGGGTGATTGGGTGATTACAAATGAGGAGAGCTCTCTATTTAGTTGAGCTTCCTCTCAATCAATGGCCTAGATCATTTTACATCAACGGCTATGATTTGCCCAATTAATGACAAATCCCCTAAATCAAGGAATTACAACCAAATCCTTCCTAATTACATCCATTAGTAGGATTCTTTCCTTGGATAGGTGTTCACACTGGATATGGCAAGAGGCAACAGAAAAAAAAATGTGTTTGTTAATAAATTTTCTCAACTTAAACCATAAAGAGAATCTTGATTTCATGGATCTTGGACATTATTAAGATAAATGTCATTTTTAACGTTTATTTAGAGTACGTATAGATACCATAATGTATTTGTACGAAAATATAATTAATATATTAAAATTTATATAGTAACGTATTCATTAAATGATTTCAGTGGTAAAATAAATGATATTCTTCGAAAAGATTTTGAGCTCGAGTAACTACGTCTACAAGGTGTATGTACGTTGTTAATATGTTAAGAAAATTCTGAACATGTATTACCTTATAATCAACTTAGATTATTCATAAAAATTATATAATAGTATCTAATATCTTGTACATGTTTGATCATGTTTATCCGGTTAAATATAATTATATATCTTTAAGTAGTATCTATTCAAAATATTTATTAGTTATTGATAGTGTATATACCCTATAAAATATAATTACTCGAACTTCATATCTCTAAAAAATAATTTGTCCTCTAATGTATGAGACACTTAATGAATTTGAAATTAAAAATTAAACATCTATTTAAACAATAAAAAATAAGATAAATTATGTATTTAATATATAAATTATTAGTTTTGGTCCATTTTGGTACCTAAATTTTAATTTTTTTAAAATCATACCTAATGTTTAATTTTGTTTCATTTTAGTACACTGTCATTAAAAAATTTATACGTTTAGTACCTAAACTATTAGTTTTAGTCCGTTTTAATACCTAAAATTTCAATTTTTTTAAAGTTTAACATTAATTTTTTAATAAGACACTAAAAGGAAACAATAAATAATTACGTATGATTTTTAAAAAAATAAAAATTTAAATACTAAAAAAATCAAATTAATAATTTAGATTCTAAGCGCATAATTTATCTTAAAAATATTTTACTTTTAGTTTATCTAAACCTAAGAAGAAGAAAATAAAAAGAAAATGGTATGCTGCAGGGTAGTTAGTAAAAAGAAAATGGTATGATGCAGGGTAGTTAGTAGTGGCGTTACAAATTTTAGAATTTTAGAGAGCGAGCGAGGGGACACACGTCCCTTCCCGTGATGACCTCCCTTCGTTGCCACGCTTGAAAACGACTATACCAATAAGTAATAATTGTAAAACGACGCCGTCCCTCCGACAGTTTTAGTTGTTTTTTAACTTTTACCCCCACACACGCACTCACACTCCCTCACTCCCACGCCCCCTTCCACGGCGCGCTTTAGCCGATTATAGTCCTCACAAATTCAATCAAATAAAGAAAGAAAAAAATATGAGAATCCCATTTCTTCTGTATGCTGATTCCTTCGTTTAATTTGAAAAAAAAATTGGTAGAGAGAAGGAAAAAAGTAACTAGGATTTTGACTCTGTTGACTGATTGATTGAGTGGTAGATCATCGTCAATCCAACGCCTTAAAAAGGTAATGTCACTTCATTTTCAGCTTTTTACTTTTGGAGTGCAAAAATGCTGACATAGTTTACTGGCTTTTGAGTTTCTAGCTCGGCGGTGCAAATTTGCGAGATGTGTTGCTTTATCGAGCCTAATTGGGAGTAGTTATTGTAATTTACAATAATTTAGACTTTAATGTGGACCGTTTTCAATGGAAGGACTTGAAAAGGGTTATCCATCAATGAACGAAAATGGAAATAAATTATGGGTTTCCCCGTTTTATTTAATTTTTACATGGAAAGTATGAATTCTGTTGTTCTTATTTTATTTTTGCTAGCTTTTTGATGATGATTTGCAAGGGAGTGTGAGAAGTGGGAAGATTGATGGGAGTTTATGTTTGCTTCACTTTGCATTAACAAAGTGACGATCCTTTTGAATTAGCTGAGGTTCTTCTTTTTGAACTCAAGGTCGAAACTTCAAAGCTTGGTTGACAATGTCTTCATTTTATAACCACTTCTCTGTGACCATTTTTTTGTACTATATTCTACTTTTTCGATGCTTCTACTTTGTAGAATTTCGGAAATTAGGGTTCAAATTGAGTGTTAACATAGAATTCAGGCTTGTCATGTGTTTGGGCAGCACAGAAATCTGTCAAATATATTATGGAGTTTTAGTTATCTCATAAGTCAAATTGACAATTCAATTGTACCGACCGCCCATTGAACGCTGGGTTAGCCATGTTGTCTTTGATGCTTTTGTGATTTATATATTCAATAATTTTTTGTTTATTGACAATCCGGTTCTTTCATTGTGTGAGGAATTTCACCTTTAATAGCTCACGAAAGGATTGTCCCTTTCTTCTACTTCTGTTGTGATCTAATTTTTTAAGCGATATCCTTTCTTTTGTGGTGATAAGGGAGTTCCCTTGAAATTAATGCCAAATTTGACCAGTCTGTTTCTTATAGATCATACTGATCATATTGTGATTTTTTTTTTGTAATATCTCAACAATTTTTACATTGATTCTTGGATGTGTATCATATCAGCTAGATGCTTACACATTGGATCAGATAGATAGGAAGAGCATTGTTTGCCTTATTGCTCAGCATTCTTTATGGTTTCTTTTCCTCTATAGTTTGTGAAGTATCGTACCATTGATTGCATCTATAGGATTTATTTTCAATCAATTTTAGGAACCATCAAGCGGAAGGAGGAAAAGAGTACATCAATTTATTAAAGTTTAATCTGTTACATAAAACTTAAGAACACTCCACCAAGATACAAAAGACATAAAACACTCCTGAAACACCTTTTCTCTAAAGCATACAAACCAACTAAAGCCACGTCAACAATCACCCAATTCCCTCTTTCGCTAGCTTGTCAGCCTCACAATTATAACTCCTAGGAATCCACCTGACAATAGCCTGCTTTAGAGAAACAGAAGTCACAATTTCCTTAACTAAATTAGACAGAAACAGAGGGACAGAAACTTGGCTATTGATCCAATCCACTGCTAGCTTTGAGTCGCTTTCGATAATTAGCCTACCCTTCGAAACCCATTCTGAAGAAACAAAAATGTCAATGCCTTTTTGATAGCTTTCAATTCTGCTAGAATGGGGGTGGTAGGACCGACATTTTCTGAAATAAAAAAGAATAACCCGATTCCAATCCCTGAGAATTCCTCATTCCAGCCATCATCCCAACACAACAAACAGCCCCATCCTCATTCATCTTAAAAAAGTCCACCGGAGGAGGATTCCAGCAGTACACCATGCTGTTCGGAACCTTAGAAGCAGAAAATTTGTCAGCCAAAGAAGGATCACCAATTAATGAGTCTACCCGAATGGAGCATAGGGGATACTTTGCTATAAACCATTTGGCTAATCTTAAACGAACAGTGAAAAACAATAAAATTCTGTCCAATTTTCCTTTCTCAAAGATAATCTCATTTCTTAGCTTCCAAATTGACCAAAAAACAGCCCCTGGAATAAACTTCCATATAGCAGAATTAGGCCTCAAATCAGCCCACAAACTGAGCAGGTTGGGAGGGTCTTGTGGTAGAGCTAACTGAATACCCCAGTACCCTATAAGCTTAGTCCACAGTTCCCAAGAAACATGGCAAAAAATAAATAAGTGCTGAATGTAGAAAGAAACATGGTTTGATAACCACTTATAGCAGGATGTTTTCCTTACAACTTTACTGTAAAGCTACATAGTTTCATTGATAGGGACAGAAGTGTGCGTTTGCTTCTCATTGATTGTATAATTTCAATAACAAAGATCAACTACCAAAATGTTTAGCAACAATTGAGAAAAAAATACCTGGGCCATTACATAATAAAGGTTGCTATTTGTGATTTTGGCCTCATGAAAATAGCAGTTCTGATTTGTCTATGGTAGTGAAGTCATCAAAGTTGTGTGTTTTAGAGTATTCTTTATGCCTTTTGTGTGTTTGTATACATATACATGTATATTATTTGGGCACATTAAGAAGTTAGCACTTAAATAAGATTGATCTGAAGTATAACACCATTTTTTAGTTAATATTTTTGGTCTTTGGTTGTTATAGAGGTCAGCTACTAGCAAATTTCGTCACCGAAGAAAGCATTCTGTGGAGTTTGACACAGATAAACTTCAAGAAGAGTTGGATCAGAATGCTCTGCCAATAGCCAGAGATGCTAATACTCGTGCAAATGATGATTCCGCTGGCTCCCACTCTCGTTCACTTCAAGTTGTTGATGCTGCTGTTAATGGACTTGCTATGGAAGAATGGGCTGCCACAAGGATACAAACAGCTTTTCGTGGGTTTCTGGTATTAATTCCACTTTTCATCTCTTAGCCATGTCGAATGAGAATTAAAATACTCTTTATGTCCCAAGTTGTTTGGGATGGTTTGACTTTTATAAAGTTCAAGACAGTAGTTGTGATTTTGATTTGACCTTTATTTTTTTAAAAATGGCTGCGTTTTTTCTTGGTCATACATTAAAAGAATGTCCTTAACATGTTGAAAATATCTTTTGTTTTCGGTAATGGATAACCTGGGAATTTCAAAAATGAAGTTAACGACAAAAAAATGAGCTGGATGGTGTTGCTTTCTTTGGGATCTATAGTGAATGCATTTTAGCAAGCACTCATTTTTACACATGTATTCTGCATCCTGTATGTGCATTTGTTTGTGGATGTGGTTTGTTTATGCTTATATGGATAAGGTGGAACAGTAAATCACTGATGCATAGTCTAACGCTGTTCGTGTTATAATTCTTCATTTTGATCAAACCATAAAATCTTATACAGTTTGAAGGCTATTTTTTTAATAAAAATAAAATTTATTGCATCTCTTCCTAACTGCTTAAAATACGAGTTTATTATTAACAAGAAAGGCCCAGCTTGTAATGATTTACCTGCCACCTGAACTGTAATTAAATAAGTAATTTAACTTCATTATTCTTCTGACTGATAGAATTGAAATGTATTTTACTTAAATGTCAGGCTAGAAGAGCTTTGCGAGCCTTAAAAGGATTAGTAAGGCTGCAGGCCCTTGTTAGGGGTCATGCTGTAAGAAAACAAGCTGCTATGACTTTTCGCTGCATGCAAGCTTTGGTGAGAGTTCAGGCTCGTGTAAGAGCAAGGCGTGTTCGACTGGCATTAGAAAGTGAAACTGCCCAACAGAAACTTCAGCAACAACTTGCAAATGAAGCTTGTGTTAAAGAAGTAGAGGTGAGGAACATTAAATCTTAGTTCATTATTCATCTCAGACTACAACTATTTATTCAGTGGCACACATGAAATAGAGTTGAATTCATGCATGCATGCAGGCTTGCTTCTTCTTGTTGTTGTGTGTGTACATGTGTCTGTATTCATTCATTATCTTCGAGATTTAAATTTTAGGATCTTGATGTGGCATCATATTCTAATAGTGTGTCAACCTGATGAATTACTTCACTTGTGTGAGTCAAATCTCCTTTAGAATGCAAGTGACTACAGACAACAATTTGCATCTTGTTAATCGGCACAAGAATGATAATAAAATTTCAATTCTAGAATTCATACCTAGTTCAGACTTTAGAATGAGGTTCATAATTTGAGGCATAGATGTTGGTAGTTAGCTGAATGCTTCATATGACTGATTAAATGCAGGAAAGGTGGTGCGATAGTATAGGATCTGTTGAAGAAATTCAAGCCAAGTTACTAAAGAGACAGGAGGCTGCAGCTAAACGTGAGAGAGCCATGGCATATGCTCTGGCTCATCAGGTAAGATATTATAACAATACTGTTATTCATTAAGCCGCAAATTTTGCATTCCAATGACACTTTTATTATTTGTGGAATGAATAGCTTACCCCTCAAATCAGTGCTCAGATTGCACTAGGGAGAAAGAGTTTTTGATGTTGCAATACATCTCTATTAAATTAACGTGCTCAAGCATGCTTTTTATTGTAGTTGGCGCTTGGAGTTTTTGATTAGTCTTCGAACCTTCAAAAAAGATTCTTGACTGTCTTTCGTACTTTTTTTATGTGACCATGTTGCAAAAAAATTGATATCAGTATATTTCTGTTCCAAAAATTTGCTCTCCTATTACCACCATATCTGATATGACTATGGTTTCTTTATTCAATATTTTCTTGTGATTTCTTCAGTTTTGTGCATTTATTCAAGATCTCGTCCCTAAGAATAAGTTCATTGGAATGATAAAGAGAGAGCTCAGTAGAAAGAGGTAAAGGTTGGGGACACTTAGGTTGTCTTATTTTTTGCTACTTTTGCAACTTAGGTTTTGTTGTTTACTGATGGAAACATGATAATTTGCTATAAAGTAAAAGCAAATAAATAAACAACTTGATATCGCTTAAGCAGTTCTCGAGTTCAAGTCATTGTGTATGCGAAAAATCCCCACTGGGATACTCACCCACCAAAGCCAGGTGTGAGACTTGAACTCGGTTCGGTCCAGATTAGTCAAGGCAAAGCCTTGGGAACCGGGAGGGCAACAAAAAAAAAGCAAATAATAAACAGGAACATTCTATTAATCCACACTTAAAAAGCAAATGGCAATTAAAAAGAATCCATATTTTGTAGTAAAATCACGCATTTTTTATCTAAATATTTAATATATATTGACTTTGTAGAACTATGTTTCGAATAACAAATTTAAGGCTAAATGTTTTTGGACTTTAATTGAATTTATTCAAAGTTTTTCAAAAGGTTTCAAAAATATTCAAAGTCCATTAAATTCGAATTTGAGCAAAATGCAAATGGTATCGATGTCCCACAGGGTAGTATCGATAACCCCTATGAAGGCTCAAATTACACAATGCAAAATGGGTACCGATACCGTGCAAGGTATCGATACCATAGTGCAAAGTAGTACCAATACCCTTGGGCAGTATACTACAAGGTTCCAACGGCTATTAAATTTGAATTTAAAAAAAATAAACAACTTGATATCGCTTAAGCAGTTCTCGAGTTCAAGTCATTGTGTATGCGAAAAATCCCCACTGGGATACTCACCCACCAAAGCCAGGTGTGAGACTTGAACTCGGTTCGGTCCAGATTAGTCAAGGCAAAGCCTTGGGAACCGGGAGGGCAACAAAAAAAAAGCAAATAATAAACAGGAACATTCTATTTAATCCACAATTACTAAAAAAGCAAATGGCAATTAAAAAGAATCCATATTTTGTAGTAAAATCACGCATTTTTTATCTATAAATATTTAATATATATTGACTTTGTAGAACTATGTTTCGATATAACAAATTTAAGGCTAAATGTTTTTGGACTTTAATTGAATTTATTCAAAGTTTTCAAAAGATTTCAAAAATAATTCAAAGTCCATTAAATTCGAATTTGAGCAAAAATGCAAATGAGTATCGATGTCCCACAGGGTAGTATCGATAACCCCTATGAAGGCTCAAATTACAGAATGCAAAATGGGTACCGATACCGTGCAAGGGTATCGATACCATAGTGCAAAGTAGTACCGATACCCCTTGGGCAGTATCGATACTACAAGGTTCCAACGGCTAGTTAAATTTGAATTTAAAAAAGGTAGTACCGATACCTCATATAGGGGTACCGATACCTCATATTCTGGATAGCTTATTTTTGCAGAAAAATCATCCGCAAACGGCTCCAAAACATTCCCAACGACTATATACGACTTCAAATTCATTTCAATCTATAAAAACAAGCCGAAGATACTTGAAGAAAAAAAGAGAACACCTATCCAAACATTCAAACACAAGAGAAGAAGTTTTTCATTCTTATTTTTATTCTCTCTTGTAAATATTGTTCTAGTTGTTTACTTCTTTTATCCTTTTGTAAACGGGAAAGATTCTAGTTAATCCCGTGAAAAGCTAGGGAAATGTTCTAGTTAAGCCTGCTAAAAACTAGGGAGTTTGTAAAGGTTATCTCTTTGTCTTGTAAAAAGAAATAACAAATTAGTGAATTTGTTGGAAAATCCTTGGTGAGGAGTTAAGGTAGTAGATGTAGACTTGGTTGAGAAGTCGAACCACTATAAATCGCTGTGTAATTTTCTATCTTTCAATCTCCTTACTCTCTAAACAAAAAACCGACCTGACCCTTCTTAGAAACCCTTCGGTTATCGATTCGAGCTTCCTCAAAATCCCAACAATTGGTATCAGAGCTTAACTAGTTAGAAGGTTTAACCACCTTCAGACGATCCTCGAAGAAGATTTACCAATTTCTGAAACAACCAAGAAGATGGCTTCCACCTTCGGTTCGTTCAACATGGAAGACTCTCTACCAACCGATAAGCCTCCATACTTCAATGGAGTCAACTACCGTCATTGGAAGAAATTAATGAATTTATTTATCTAAGCCAATGATCTTGATGCATGGGAGATGATCGAGAGCGGATACTCTTCTCCAAAGAAGAAGGAGAAGAAGTAGAGTGACCAAGAACGAAAGAAAGCTCAACAAAATGCCAACGCCATGCACATGGTGTTTTGTGCATTTGGTCCTGAAATCTATGAATGAGTTTCTTCGTGTTCAAGTGTCAAGGAGCTTTGGAATAAGCTCGAGGAAATCCATGAAAACAAGAAAGAAGAATCAACAAAAGTGGTGTCTTTAATGGCTCGTTAAGAGCCCGAGGTAACTTAAGCTCAAATAAATTAAATTCTTATTCTTTTGATGAGTTACAAGATGCTTATAATAAGTTGTATTTGGGATTTGAGACAATGAATTCCAAATATTATAAATTAATTTCAAAACTTAAAATTGAAAATAAGTTGATTTTGAAAGCAAAAGTTGATTTTGAAAATCAAAATGAAATTTTGAAAAATAATTTAGAACTTTCAAAAGTCAAAATCAATGATTTA